TCACTGCGTGTCGGGCCTTTCTAAGGATGGTGGCAGGAGACAATATTGTCTCACGTCTGCCACCATTGGAGAGTGGTCGCAAACCCGAGTACCAGTGCATGATTCTTCAGCGATCCGAGGATTGCTCGTTGTACGTCTCTGGGAATGTTCGTCGATGCGGCGATTCGGAGTTCGGGCTAGTGTTCGACGAGTTACGTCGTATATACTCCCTGGAGTTCCCTTCCACACCCCGAGCATCTGCAATTGCCTGGCTAGCATCACAGCCCTCTCACTTCCTGTCCGCCCCTCGTCTTGTATTCCTCTCGGAAGCGTCCCCTAACTGGCCCACGGACTATACGGATGACTGGGACGATGACGACTTCGAAAGCCGCTCCTTAATTCCGATTCTCGCTATGCCACGTCTTCGGCACATCGAGCTCGGTGAATTCGATGACAATGCTCTGGATTCTTTGTCTCGCTAGTCTTTCGGCGAGCTCAGGACCCTGATGTGCCGTGAACTCGATCTAGAAGAGCTCGAGGACAGTACGCATGATATATCCAAATTTCTGGCCGTATTAGGGCGCGCCCCGCTTCTGGAGAGCTTCCGCATTTACGGCGGAGTCTGGCACGCCGCGCCGCGGACCAGTCGCAATATTCCAATGCCAAAACTCGAACAGATCGTACTGGAGCGGGTGCAGTTGGAGACTTGGGGGCCATTTCTTCACGATATCACTGCACCAAACTTGTCAGCGGCGAGGATAATGGGAGTCGCGGTTTCATCAGCGAATTCTTCAGTACCTCATCACCTTGCAGAGCTACTCACTGCAGCTACGACAGTCGTGTCTATGGCCACGGCGGCTTGGAGAAGAGGTGCTGAATCGTCTTTCGAGCTCGGCATCACACAAACCTCTGAAAATATGTGGCTCCTTGGATCCGCGAGCAGCTGCATAGCCGAGCCCCTGACCGATGCTTTTTACCGGCGATGGAACAACTCCAAGAATGCATTCCATGTTTTCTTGCCCGATGCTCTGGGCATGTCACTTCTTCGTAATTCTCTTGCCGGTCCCGAGATTCAGCACCTGGTTATCTGCAACCCAGGTTACGCATGGGATGTTACAGGCTGCAGCAGGGTCCTCGGAACACTAAACCCTAACATTGAAGAAGTCACTTTCTCTAACGTCAACCTCGACCTCATCGTCGCCCTTCTCTCCCAAGATCCTCCCCCACTGTCCAAACTCCGTACGCTACATCTTTATATGTGTACTCGAGCTCTCTACTCCGAGTCGCTCGAACCGATGGACGCCGTCTCCCAAGACCAGCTCATAGAGATGCAGCTCACCTCACGTGTGCGCTCAAGGTCGTTGTCCAATTTCTTGGTAATGGTGAGGCAGAGACGTGCCCTTGGGATGCCTGTGCAACGACTCTCATTCTTTCGTTGTCAGTGGCAGTGGTCGTCCGAGGAAGAAGCAGCGTTCTTGGCAGTCATTCCAGACTTTTCCGTTGGATGCTTTGAACCGGTAAACGAGTGAGCCCCTGGCCATTACACTGTAAAGTGGATCGTGTTCCTTTCTTGGCGAGTTCTTGTGCTCAACTCATTTCGAAGGACAGGTCTCTGCCAGTTTCGAAAATGCGCTGGTATCACAACATAGTTTCCAAGAAGAGTGAGTCGTCTGCGAAGCGGGGGAAGGGTCATTGCGTGGTGTTGTCGACCTCAGGTTGGTTAAGCTGCTCAGTGGTCACTTCATGGTTTATGTCTTGCGAGGCTGTTGCTTGTGAATACTATTACATTCTACCTGCATGACATCCACAAAAAAATCGCCTACGGTCGTCGTATTCGCATATCCCTGGGTACGACCAACAAGAGCTTAGCGTCGGGGCGACCGTGACGGACGCTGGTGAATCGCGATCGGGGCGACGCGACTGTGAGGGTACTCAGTCACAAAAGCGTGACAAGGCTCGCTACAGCGGGCGCTTCACCTTTCCAGAGCTGTGATTGGCTGCTGAATTGAGACTCGGAGGAGGACCTGCACGGTGAGGAAATATGCCCAAGCAAATTATCCCACCTTCGCCCCTTCTCCCACCTCCCAGGCCCTCCCAACTCCCGACGACGTCGTGCACGGCCTCCCCAACACGACCAGGACATCGCTAGAACATCCTGGGTCGACTTCAACCATGAGGAGCAGACTTCTACAAAAGGGCGACTCCGCAGACTGTGGCTCTGGCGGTGGCGACCAGGGCGACCTCAACCTGCGAGTTGCGTCCATCTTCGTAATCCTCGCGGGATCAATGCTAGGTGCACTCTTTCCTGTACTCTCAAGACGAACGAAGTGGCTTGGAGCCAGAGTTCCAAAACGCGCTTTCGACACAGCGAAGTACTTTGGCAGCGGCGTCATCGTAAGCGTATATGTCGTCAATTCGTCCACTCTTCTGACGTCTTCACAGATTGCTACCGCCTTCATTCATTTACTTGATCCTGCAGTTGACGAACTGAGTTCACCATGTCTTTCGCCTGCATGGCAAGAATACGTACGTCTCAAATCTCTCTCTCACGGAGTGCATACTGACCAGTCCCCAGCCTTATGCTATGGCGATAGCTCTCATCAGCATATTTATGATCTTTATTATCGAGCTCCTCGCCTTCCGTTGGGGCACTGCGAAGCTTGCCGCGCTAGGGATCGAGCACGATCCACATGGGCATGGGATTTCCCACGACGACAAAATCGGCACACTTGCGGCGCACGGTCCAGAACTGGACAGCGAGCGAACGACGAGCAGAACATCTAGCTCGTCAGAACAAGAGGTCACGGTCCTCGAGAAGGGGCACGACATTGAACTCGCGCTGGAGAAAAAGCCGCACCATGACGACCGCGAACGTTCGCATGGACACTCGCATGGTGCTGTTGACGAAAGTGCGGCGACACAAATCGTCGGCATCGCCATTTTGGAGTTTGGTGTTGTTCTGCATAGGTGTGTGCCCGGTCGTTAGTCAAAAGTTTTATGAATGATTGAACTTTCACTAGCGTGCTGATCGGCTTGACGCTTGCTGTCACCGACAACTTCAAGATACTCTTCATTGTGCTGATCTTCCACCGTACGTATCGTTTTTTTTTTTTTTTCGGCGGCGGACACTTACTGACCTCTGTGCAGAAACATTTGAAGGTCTTGGAGTGGGCTCGCGGTTGGCATACATGGAGCTACCACACCAGTACAACTACATACCAATCCTCGGCGCTGCCCTGTTCGGAATAACAACTCCGATAGGTGCGTCTGATGTTGACACGTCGAATGATGACTTACGTATTTGGACGGCCAGGCATCGCGATTGGCCTTGGCGTGCGGTCGAGCTACAACCCTGGCAGTGCAACAGCTAGCATCGTCAGCGGAGTGCTTGACGCCTTTAGCTCAGGAATTTTGATCTACACTGGTCTGGTCGAGGTAAGTCGCGCTGTGGTCTGTGTCACAATTTCGCAAGCTAATAGATGCCACAGCTCCTCGCGCACGAGTTCCTCTTCAACAAGGAGATGATCAACAGCTCGACCGGCAAGCTGCTCTACGCCCTGGGTTGCATGATGGCTGGGTGTGCGCTCATGGCAGTTCTCGGCCGCTGGGCGTGAGAGCTGTCCGCTTCTGCACCTTTCAGCCTTATACGAAGACAGGCTACGGATCGTACACCGGGCTCGCAGCGCCGCCGCGGCGCAACGATATCGGGCACAAGTAGCTTATACCGCCATATCGTTATTGCCAACTTATTTGTCTTGGTTCACACACCACACGTATACATATATCGTTCCTTCCGTGTTTTTCTTGCATCATCTTGCTTGTATGATCGCTCTTCCATGACCTAACCATCTTGTCGCTGTCTTCATTCTTGCACCCGGCTTCTTGCTTGCATCTCACCGGACTTGTAGCACACATGTCGTTCCTGCTTTGCCTTTGTATCTCAGAAATTGTAGTTGTATTACTAGCTTCGCAATGCCACTGTCGAGACTGTTCACACCCGGAAGGCTTGGCTGCGCCGCCCGCTCTTTACGAATGGTGATTTCTTCGTGGCGGTCGTCACGATGATCAGTCGCGCGGCTAACTCCGCAAAGCGTCTCTCGTCTCCCGCAGTTCTCCTGCGCTCATTAATATTCCTCTCCATCTCGACAGCGGCCTCCCTTGCACGGCATTCGTCCAAATTATCTCCAGA